CCGGTGAAAGAGCACAGGTGCGACCACGTTTGAGGTCTCAGAATAGTGTCGGTTTGGCATGCCGTAGCCACTAAATGAAGCCACATTCGGGTGTACAAGGCTAGATTCGTAGCCACGGACCGGTCAAAGCATGCTGACAGAAGAACGCCGAGATTCATCTTTTCTATTCTGGCAATGACGCGATCGCATGCATAAAAGCCCAAGCGCACTATGCAGATTTGAAACTTTGAAGAAGATCACTCGTACGCTATCTGGGTATCTCGACGAGGAGTAGCGCCACCAACTTCACATGGTTACACAGCTCAGGTTAACAGCCAAACACATTTCCTCTTCGGAACGGAACATCGCCCCAACAAGTTTCGATTGTCCCGCCAAAGATTGGCGGACCTGCAGATTAGGGATCTGATGGAGCAAGAGGTGTCACGAATGATCTTTTGGCCCTTGAACCGATACTCAGCCTCGCGGTGCCAAGCTACCTAGGTACGAGTGCACCTTGCAAAACAGCCTTACAGTGATCTCAATGGCCGAGATGTATGAGCAATTGTCTATGGGCGCATACCCCAATCATGCGAAAGAGAGCTCCTTGGTGAAAGAAGTGTCGACGTCGAAGAGATATATGCCTATGAGTCGTTTACTACCTTGACTTATTCGCCTCCGACCAGGCCTTCCAACTGTTTAAGAGTAGCGATTTGCTGAGTTCCGGTCAATGACGATTAGTAGGCATCCAAAGAAGGCAAACCCCGGAGCCCTACCTGTCTTGAACCCGATCAGGGTCGAGGCCGACTTCGGGGCGGCCTTTAGGGTCATTCATACTCTCTAGGGATGTGAAGCTAGCGCTTAGGCAAGGGATATATGCTATGCCTTCGATTGCTTCATCCTATCGATTGGGTGTCGATACACTGGGGGCAGAAATTGTGTTATTTACGGAGCGTCCTTCACCGGGGAAACGGCCCCTAACAGTATACCAGGGGCAAGAGGCTCTGCCCATGTGTTCCAGGACGTCGTTTAACCTTGAAGATTTGGGCATACTCGCACCCCAGATATGCGCTCTCGCTCGTCCACGTATCCGCATCTCTCGCCTAACTTCTCCGATAGTGCAGCCCTATCATGGCGAATAATGCGCAGTTTGATCTTCGCAACAACAAGGACGATGGCTTGACTTCTATGGGAAACACAGCACCTCAGTCCAATCAGAGAGTAACAGTCCATGTTCACGAGCGGGATACGAGGACAGGCTCACAGGAAGGCAGTCGAAATTCAGCGTCAACCCAACGGAGCAACAGATCATTACGCCAAAACAACAGCGTAAGCTCGCAAAGTCATAGCGAAATAACCCAGCAAAAGAGGAGCTTCCACTACGGCAGGCATCATCTCAGACATCCCGTGGCTATTGCAATGATCGTTGTTGCGGTTGTTGCGATCTGCGCCATTCTGGGTAGCGTTATACCTACACAGGTCAGAGCAAACAATGAGAATCATGCAAAGGGCTCAGACGTAAGTGTATCTGATCCAGATACGGTAGTTATAATGATTTAACATGCTCAGTCATCACCGAGCTCTCAACCGCCTCCAGACGGCCCGTCATCACCATCAAACACCACCCCAGGCACGACGATGCTTACTATTACATCCAAAAGTAGCGATGCCCTCGACACTATTCCCGCCAGTCTAAGTCCGTCCGCAACGGCGTCCACACCCACACAAACATCCCAGACTCAACCTAAATCCCAACCCCCCGGCGCCGACACCACGCCAGCGCCCACATTCTTGGCCCCTAAGGCGAAGTGTGAAAAAGATTCCGACTGCGGCACGAGCCCGTATCTCTGTCACACCAGAAAAGATACTGAAGAGTCAATTACACTAACAACGACTTTCTGTTGCGCACCGCATGTATCGGGTTGTCCCGGCTACAATTGTAGCAAGTCGAGCTTCAACGATTGTCTGGATCCTTACCCTTGTGACCCGAATGGAAGCACTTGCTTGTACATGACGTCAATAGGATGAGACTTGTTCATGGGAGTGGCGTACGGATGGCATATTGTATAACGATGTTTCCTTTCTTTGTCAGTGATACCTTAGCTCTTGGTTTACATCGCGAATCTTAGACAATACTACGTTGATGGCAAGCAACTGCTTGCAGTTGCACAGTCAAATGAGAGCGATGTGATTCTGTTGAGTACTGCGTGAGTGTAGTTGCTATGCGCAACCGGCGGAAGAACAGATTGAACATGATTTAGCAATTCATGAGTCGATCCCTGAGCTTATCAAACAACCGCACCCGCTTGGTGAGCCGCCTCTGGAATTGTCGACACCAAGCATTCCATATTTTCAGGTTAAAACGGTTGAGGAGGCGATGTCTGCGTTTGAGAGTTGTACAAAAGTAGATGCATCGGAAGACATCGCGACAAATGCGGATATGACGGATGCTGCAGGATTGGATGACCCATCAACCACATCAATTCATAATCACGACGCCATTGACACCTGGTTGGACGGGGGAATCGCTGATGATAACGGTGTGAATTTCGAATGGGAGTACGGCGATAGCCCATCAGGACCATCGTCTTACGCAGCATCAATTGCTTCAGTCTTCACCAGGAGCAGAGTATCGCTGTATCCCCGGCCCGCCAGCCACATACCCACCAATGCCACCAGTCTATCTTGCAAGCTTATTCACATGTCCCACAGACGTCCACGAGAAAGACACCTGGATACTAGATCAGCTCCCGAAGCGTACGTGTGGTGAGCTGCGAGGTCAGGTCGGGCAGCCTGCTGAGGGATGGGGTATCTACTACGATGAGGGCTTGGATCGCGATACGCTTGCGCTGACTGTTCTCGTGGTGTTTCTAATCGCTAGTCTGCTTTTTGGTGTTCTTTGGTCGCGGTTCCAGTATGATGTTCAAGGGGCGTTTGGTGTGAGTGCGTACATGGTGGCATGTTGCGCTGTGCTGCTTCCTGTTATCGTCACGCGGTTAGAGAACAAGGGTTGATTTGTATTTGCACGAACTGAATCAGAGGGATCTCTCACTCCTCTTTTAGGGCCGCTATTCAATATTGAGACTTGTCCAGGATCGAGCAGTGCAAGCCCGTCATCCCTGGCAGTGTAACTCATGTCATAGTGTACTCCGAGGTATACAATGCTCTCAACAGATTCATTTCAAAATTTTCGGCGTAGCGAGTACCTCCCAGGTGATACGGAATACGAGCCTCGCGGTGATGTGTTAGTATGGATGCAGTCAGAAGCTGCTAACCACGCCTCGAGACACACCCGGAAAGCAGACCATATGATGCAGTGAAGAGATGGATATAGCTATCCTAGATAGTGTAGACTCACTGATCACAGCCATTGTCGTGTTCGGCCTGGTGCACGTGCGATGACGCACGCTCTTTCATCGCTCCTTCCTCAACTGCGCACTCACCTACTGAAAATTTTCCTCCGCTCACAACACTGCCACCTTCCACCGTCCACCACACCCACCCACCACAAAATCGGCCAAAATGGTCAAAATGGCCTGGCTGAACTCCTTGAAAGCCTAACAAAAAGGCTCGAAGCGGCAAGGAAAAAGGTATGTCTCCAGAACACTCAGTCACACACAAACTAACATCTGTCTCAGGATGCCACGCTCATAGCCGCCATGCAACTCAAGACCGACGAAACCATCAAAAGAAACTCGACCAGGTCGGTTAGCGCCATGGTATTGACCATGCCGGTGACTGCACCAGCGAGACACTACTGATGTCGGTCCACTCCAGCCAAAAACAAGCACATCCGGAGTGAATGGCGAAGCAAGTCAGTCTAACGACACTATCAAGAGATGGGACAATGGCGCTAGGGAGCAGTTCCTCGATGTCGAGGTCCCACAGATTCTGTGGCTGTCTCACCGAAGATCGAGGATGGCATGGACAGTCTCAAGTAGAAGGCTACACAGATACTGTGTCCTCTTTTGCTTGAGCGTTCGGGTGGGTTGGAAAGCCTTGAGGTCGAGGTACCCACAATATCATGTGGCTGTCTCACCGGAGATCGAGGTTGGTGTGGACGGTCTCAAGCAGAGGGTCGCGCAGAGTCTGTGCCATCTTTTGCCTGAACGTTCGGGCGGATTGGAGAACCTTGAGGTTGAGGTACCACAGTATTCTGTGGGTGTCTCACCGGAGATCGAGGCTGGTGCGGATGCCCTCAAGGAAGATCGCCTGGGCAGGCTCGGTGTCTTCTTTGCTTGAGCGGGCGGATGGCGCAGGCTGACGCTGTAACCTCTTTACATGAAAGGCACAGTGTGGAAGAGCTGGCAATAAAGGTCGCAGGTCAATGCTTTGGCTTCTTTACTCATGGGTATGCCATTGAGGGCGCCAAGATGGAGGCAGCGACAGCTGATGATGTGGTTGCTTTGCTCAGGAACTGGGGCCGGGCAGTGTCCGGACGAAGGTGGCGCAGACCGACGCTTTGGCTTCTTATCAAAGAAGTACGGCGACGAGAGCGTCAAGAAGAGGGCGGCGATGGTTGATTACATCCTTGCTTTGCTTCGGGATTATGATATGAGGTCTCCGGAGAAAGATGGCACGGCTGATGCTGTGTTTACTTTGCTTCGAGAGATCGATGGCGCGCAGTGTGTCGAAGACTTGGTATCTCAGTGAGACAGGGCTGGCGTCTTGGGAGTTCTGACAACGTTGGCCGTGTATGAACATGCGTTACGCTGTTCGTTTCCCTGTGGTAGTCGTGGGTGGAGGGTCGAATTAGACCTACATGTTCGGTACTCCTTACAATTCGATATCTTACAATATATCCTGGAGATACTCAAAGCTTACTACACCTGTGAACGCTGCCTCCCCAACTCGATGTATACAGCTGGCATGTTCTCCGTGGTGACATCAGCAAACACATCTCGGCATGTATCCGTCTCGCAGCGCCCTCAACTTCTTGCTATCGCGTGATTGTGTACTGTATGCTGTAGTAACAACTTCGATTCAAACGCCGTCTAATGCATTGGTCTATAGGGTATCATACCTCAATCCATATCCTCTAATCCGCCAGCATCACTCGGCGCCTGCTCTTCACTCACCATAATACCCACCATACACTCGCCGAGCATGTTCTCCCAATTCACCCACGGATGCACTTCCATAAACAGCTTCGTCCCGTCTTTTCCCGCCGCTCTCTTCAGCTCGCCCTCTCCACCAGGGTGAAACGGCAGGTAGGGCGAGATGTTATACACCTTACCCTGATAGCTCGACCACGCGGGCTTCCCCTTCCGGCCGTTCTTCTCCTTGAGCATAGCGGGTGTAACGCGTATCATGGAGTCAACGCCCGACAAGTTCTTGCCTGACTTCTGCAGATAGGCCCAGTCGAGTGGCGAGTGGCCGGGCGACAGGAGTACCTTGCCTCGTGCGTTTGGTGTCTTGAGTGCGGCGCCTGCGGTGGGTGGAAGCCCCAGGCTGCCGTTTGAGGTCGGTGGGCCGCGATTGGGTAGCGGGCCGCGGTTCGGAAGGGGCCCGGTTGTGGGCACGCGCATTGACTGGGTGGAGGTGTTGGGGAGGGCGCGCAGGTTTGAAGCTGCGACTCGGGGTGGCGGCATGAGCGAGGTTGTGGGTTTTGGTGGCGGGGCCATGAGCGAGGGCTTGCTGGGTGGAGGCATGGTGGATGGAGGGGGCATGGCGGATAGCGAGGGCGGCTTCGAGGCTCGCTGGGCAGAGTTCATGGCTGGGAAGGAGGGCGGTGGGAGGTTGTCTTCTTCATCCTCGTCGGAGCTCTCGTGCTCGTTGAGCGTGAAGGTAGGTACGGCAGGCGCATCCTTTTCAGAGGCCGGCGCAGCTTTTGGTGTGGATTCGGGAGATGGGCTCTTTGCAGTCACTCTGGTATCTTCATGCTTTGTTGGACTCTCCAGCTCTATGCGCTGCTCCGCCGCGGGAGTGCGGTGGTCTGTCTCGCCATGCTGCGACTTCTCAGGTATCGACGACGCGCCAGAGCGGGTAAAGCGAGTAATGAAGGCGAGCCATGTCGAGGGCGGGCGCTGGTAGACGAGGAAGGACAGCGAGAGTGCCAGAATCGAGACGGCCACGAGCATCTCTTGGGTCTATGCGAGGTAAGGAGCGACGGTTGCTGGACCCTGAGGCGTGTGAGGAGCGGAACGAGTCCAGGCTTCATGCGCCTCCAGGGTTTCTTGACTGGTAGGGCTGACGGCAATCGGCGCTAGCCTTCGATGACTTCACGCGCCGCATGCCGTCACTGCTCGGAACATATTCTGTCTGGTGAATGCACACGTTTACGCATTGACCTTTGTCCCTCGCCTTTGAGCACACGAGGTTTCTCATTCTCTTCCACGGTTACGCGCGACCCACTCTACGCGCCCTTATAACATCGCGCCTGCCCCACCACCCCTCCATCTATCGCGATCGCAAGTCCAACCCTGAGGCTGAATCACACATTCGCGCAATACACCCACACACAACCATGGCCGTTGAACCAGCAAACCTGCCCGAGGGCATCATTTCCCTCTTAGATACCGACCTCTACAAGCTGACTATGCAATGTTGCATACTCAAGTTCTTCCCAGATGTCTCAGTCACCTACGGCTTCACAAACCGCACGCCCGACAAGAAGCTGAATCGCGCAGCCTTCAAGTGGTTACAAGCGCAAGTAGATAGTATGTCCTTTTCTCGCTGCTATTTCTACAATGGCTAACCCTCCAGAACTCGAGAATATAACCGTGTCCGACGCCGAAATCGCGTTCCTCAAGAACACCTGCCCCTACCTCAACGCGCAATACCTCCACTTCCTCTCCACGTTCCGCCTCAAGCCCTCCAAACAGCTTAAGCTATCTTTCCAACCCGCGAACGATACTGGGTCAGACAGCGACAGCGGCGACTTCCACATCCACACCGAGGGCCTCTGGCTAGATACCATCCTGTACGAAATTCCGTTACTTGCGCTGGTCAGCGAGGCATACTTCAAGTTCGTCGAGACAGACTGGAGCCATGAGGGTCAGGTCGAAAAGGCATACCAGAAGGGGCGGAGTTTGCTTGAAGGAGGATGCATCTTCTCCGAGTTTGGCTCGCGGAGACGTCGCGACTACCACACTCAGGATCTAGTGCTGCAGGGCTTGCGCCGAGCGGCTGACGAGGGCGACAAGGCAGGGTGGAAAGGCAAACTCTCAGGGACGAGCAATGTCCATTTCGCCATGAAGCACGGCCTCGTTCCTGTGGGCACCGTCGCGCACGAGTGGTTCATGGGTGTGGCTGCCATTACGAACAACTACGAGAGCGCAAACGAAATTGCCCTGGAATACTGGACAGCGACGTTTGGCGCAGGCGTCTTGAGCATCGCACTCACGGATACCTTCGGCACACCGACCTTCCTGAGAGCCTTCAAGAAGCAGATTCCTCGCGTTACCACGGCTATCCCAGGCGGTGGCACAACGCTGGCGTCAGCTGGCCAAACCACCAACAACGATGCCGTGGAGACAATGGCGTCAACCAACCCGCCGATCCAAGCACCATATGATGGAAATCTAGGATCGAGACAGACTTATGCCGAGGTATTCGCAGGTGTGCGACAGGACTCTGGAGACCCGTTGGAGTTCATCAAGATGATGCGCGACTTCTACGACCAGGAAGGCATCAAGGATAAAAAGACCATCGTATTCTCCGACTCTTTGAACCTTGAGCTGTGCTTCAAATACAAGGCTGCAGCGGAGGCAGCAGGGTTCCAGCCCACTTTCGGTGTTGGAACATTCCTGACAAGTAAGTGCGCAAGTGGAAATGCTTCGAGACATGGCTGACCATGACAGATGATTTTGTCGAGCAAACAACAGGCAACAAGTCTGTGCCCCTCAACATTGTGATCAAGATCGCCTCCGCTGCGGGGCGTTACGCCGTCAAGATTAGCGACAACATTGGCAAGAACACAGGAGACAAGGCGACAGTTGACGAAGTTAAACAGCGACTGGGCTACCAGGAGAAGTCGTGGGCTGGGGGTGATGAGAAGACGCGCTGGGGGACTGCAGGCGCGCCAGCCACTTAGTATGTGCGGTGTGCATCTCATCCGGTGGGGCGTATATGTTGGCTAGACTTGAGCTCCCAAGCTGCAGAGACGTGGAGTCCAACCAAGAAGTGGAGGCGTTCATAAGCTGAGATGCGGTCTGCAAGGCTGAGTCTAGCGCAGACCTTCCTGCGATGACCGTGAAGCTGCGTCAGCGCTTGGTGGCCGGCTCGGAGACTCTTTACGAGATGAGGCGAAAGTCAAGAGTGAATGCGAAAGTAGTGCAAGCGAATAGCAGGTTTGCAGCCCAAAGAGTGCCCAGGTGCCTTCTAGACGCCGAAGCATGTGCGTGTGCCAAAATTAGAGTGAGGTTCTTCGCCGCTGCGGGTCAACGACGCGCCGCTGCTTACCAGCCCCATGGAGCTAGCCCAGCGCCTCCTGCATGCGCGGTCCACTCTGCCACTCAGCCCCAGGAAACATCGCAGAGCTGAAACACATTTATCTTCTGTCGCCAGCCTTTGTACAGCATTGACAACATTGATTCGAGCTCAAGCGCGTTTGACCTCAATTCACCCTTCGCCTAGTCACGAGCCCACCGCTACTCTAGTGCCGCTTCCCGCGTTTGCAGTCGGCTGTCTCAGGAGTCTTCACGTCCACTCAGACCACACAGGGCCTGTTTCAGAATGAGCGTAAGTTCCCTCTCTGTCAGCGTACCCGCTTGACTGTGCCCTCCTACAACACCATCCACTCCACTACACTACACATTTACACACGCTGACCATGGCTGCTGCGGACGAACAGTACGGAAACAAGGGCTACGGCCAGATAGGATCCTATGGCGGTAACCCCTACGACGCACGCGACGCCAGCCCGGCTGGCTACAACAACTACAACCAGGGCGGCTATGGTACGTCTTCGATGCGCCACTTCCTCAACGGCTATCTCTAACACAGCGCAGGCGATGTAGAGATGCAAAACTACCCCGGCGGTGGCGCCAGCGCGAACCCCAATGCCATCCTCGACGAATGCCGCGAAGTCGACCGCGCCCTCGACGACCTCGATGCCCAGCTCAGCAACCTCGACCGTGTCTTCAAGCAGTCATTGGCGCGCCCAGACATGCCCTCGGGCGAGATCAACAACCTCAGCTCGCAGATCATGACCGGCTACCGTGGCCTCGTCGGCCGCGTCAAGGCCATCAAGTCGAAGCCCGACTCAGGTCACCCAAGGAACGCTCCACAAGTCGGCAAGGTCGACCGACGACTCAAGGCGACCATCAACAAGTACCAACAACTCGAGTCGGATTTCCGAAGGGATTCACAAGCAGCTGCCGAGCGCCAATACCGCATTGTGCGCCCGGATGCTACCGAACAGGAGGTCCGCGACGCAGTATCAGACCCCGATGCGCCCATCTTCCAGCAGGCTGTAAGTAGCTCAATCGGTCAATCACATGGTTAAACTAACACCTTCCAGCTCCTTAACTCAGACCGCCGCGGCCAAGCCTCATCCACCCTGCGCAACGTCAAGGAGCGCCACGAAGCCATTCAGAACATAGAACGTCAAATGGTAGAGCTTGCCCAGCTATTCCAGGACCTCGACCAGATCGTCCAGGAGCAAGAGCCGCTTGTCGCCAACATCGAGCAAAAGGGCGAGGAGATTCACGACAACGTCAAGGCCGCCAACGTGGAGATCGACGGTGCCATTGTCAAGGCCCGCAGCCGCAACCGCAAGAAGTGGTGGTGCCTGCTCGTCCTCCTGCTCATCATCATCGTCGTTGTTGTCATTGCTGTGGTTGTCACACAAGTCAACAAGGCCGCTGCCAACACCGTTGCGTAATCGACACACCAGCCGAGTCTATTCCTCCAGCATTAAGAGATCGCTATACAGCCGCCTCTCGCATTCCACCATCACATCCACCGTCTCTTCTTTATTAGTCTTTTCCCAAAGGCTGGTCCGTACAATATGTAATACCCCCACGGTGGATATACATACCCCATCTCTCCTGTCATCTCTTCCATTGGTTAGGAAAATTGGTCTCTTTTGTAGGCGCCTCTGGCGTCCTCTATTCTCAGCGTCTTGAAGCTGTTTCTGTAGCGCTGGCCGAATTGCATCATTGCGGATTACTTATATACAACTGTTTTAGAGGCTAGCTTACGAGCTATCGAATGAAAGAGTCAAACATGTCCTTTCGGCGCGATGCGCAATGGTGTTTGCATTGCCACGGTCCTCAACTTCACCGCCCCACGCACCGGTCCGACGCAATATGAATTCGCATACCACAATCAATCTTTGTGAGAAATGGCGGCGAAACCTTCTCTCAGGTGACGTTGTAATATAAACATGTACCACGCTAAATTTCGAAGCAATCTAAATGGCACAAAAGCCGAACATCGACCTGGGGCAAGGCGCACGATCTACCGACACTTTAACCACTCTGGCGTCCACTAAATCGCGAACTCTTATATTTTGGAAACAAGCACGGAACAAGCATGGCACTATACCTCTTGAGCAACGGAGGGAAAAGCTTGGGCTATGAAATGAAGAGTATAAAGTAATAGCACTTGGCCGCTATCTTGTATGCCAGCACCTCATACTCTGCCAAACCCACAGCAAACATGTTCGGTCAAACAGCACTCTTCGCTCTAGCCCTCGCGGCTCCTGCCCTCTCCCAAGTCACCGAAGGCTTCGAGAACGGCTGGGACCAAACCGCATGGCCAACCTACGCCCCAGACTGTTCGCAAGGCGGAAAGGTCACCCTAGACAGCACGACCGCGCACACAGGCAAGAACAGCATCCGCGTGGACGGCGCAGGAGGTTTCTGCGGCCACATTTTCGTCGGCACGACTAAGATTCCTGCTGGCGATGTTTACGTGCGGACGTACCTGTAGGCCGTCCCTTGACTGATAGGAGAAGAAAGATGAACTAACATACCTACAGCAAAGCATCCAAGCCCCTAACCGACTCCCACGTAACCTTCATCACCATGCCCGACTCCGCCCAAGGCGCAAAGAAACACCTCCGCATAGGCGGCCAATCCAAGATCCTCATGTACAACCGCGAAACCGACGACGCGACTCTCCCCGACCTCTC